TCAAAAGGAATGAGATCTTGCCATTTGCAATGACGTGGATGTAACTGGAGGGTGTTATGCTGAGCGAAATAAGTCAATCAGAGAAAGACACGTATCATATGACCTCACTGATATGAGGAATTCTTAATCTCAGGAAACAGAGGGTTGCTGGAGTGGTGGGGAGGTGGGAGGGAGGGGTGGCTAGGTGATAGACACTGGGGAGGGTATGTGCTATGGTGAGCCCTGTGAGTTGTGCAAGACTGCTGAATCACAGATCTGTACCTCTGAAACAAATAATGCAATATATGTTAAGAAAAAAAAAAAAGAAAAAGATAGCAGGAGGGGAAGTATGATGGGGAAATCGGAGGGGGAGACGAACCATGAAAGATGATGCACTCTGAAAAACAAACTGAGGGTTCTAGAGGGGAGGCGGGTGGGGGGACGGGTTAGCTTGGTGATGGGTATTAAAGAGGGCACGTTCTGCATGGAGCACTGGGTGTTATACACAAACAATGAATCATGGAACACTACATCAAAAACTAATGATGTAATGTATGGTGATTAACATAACAATAAAAAATTAAAAAAAAAACTGCATGTGTACGACTCAATGAACCGTCATAAATGGAACACACCAGTGTGAACAGTGTTCTGATTGAGAAACGCCGTCACCGCGCCCCAGAAGCCCCCCCGCCAGATGCCCTCTTCGAGTCACTAATCACCCAAGGAACACTAATCCTGATTTAATGCCGCAGATTCATTTTGCCCGTTCCTACCACTTACATAAACGGAATCACACACCGTGTGCTATTTTGTATTTGGCTTATCGCCTTCAACACCATGCCTGTGAAAGTAGCTGCCACCGCTCCTCGTCCCTGCCACACAACACCCCACTGCAGGCACAACCGTGCCACTGTGAGCCATCCTGTACTGATGGGTGCGGGGTGGAGCCAGGAGGAACCATGCAGGGCTGATGCGTGTGCATCTCCGTGGTAGCGTTTCCACCACCACTGGCAGAGTACAAGAGCTCGGGCTGCCCCGCATCCTGGGCGGCTTCGGCGTCTTCCTGACTTCATCTCAGCCATTCTGGTGCGTGGACAATAGTATCACTGACATACTTTTTATATGTATTTTATTTGTTCTATTTTCTTTACTTCCAAAACGGAAACAAAGTCAGCTTGTGATAAAAAGACGGATTAGATGGGAACAATTTTTAAAGCTTTTTAAAAGGTAAAATTGTAAAGAAAGAGGGCAAATAATTAAACCTATACCAGGGTGTTAGTAACTGCCACAGTTCGGCATAAAACTTGTTCCTGAAATTTCTAGCCGCTGAAGCTGAAAGGCAAACGTGGTGAGCTGTACAGCTTCCAGCCTGCGTCTCATAAAAGGAGTTTGTAACAAACGGTCAAAGGAAATTGTCTGGAGGTTTAGATCAGAGTTCACAACATAATGGATACTTTTCAACAGCAATTTTATAAAAGATACAGACATACTTTGCATAAGGTTCTCTGGTTTCTTTTTTCTTTTTCAAAGATTTATTTATTTATTTGAGAGAGAGAATGAGAGATAGCACGAGAGAGAAGAGGGTCAGAGGGAGAAGCAGGCTCTCCGCCGAGCAGGGAGCCCAATGCGGGACTCGATCCCGGGACTCCAGGATCATGACCCGAGCCGAAGGCAGTCGCTCAACCAACTGAGCCACCCAGGCTCTGGTTTCTTAACGCATCTCTCTACAAGTTTTAGACACAACAGTAAACCGTGATTTTCTGAGGTAGCTACTCCATAACAGCTCCTCAGAGTGAACTGCCGGAGGGTATGTTGGCTTCCCCTTTCAAATATCAGTTGTCTTAGGAGCCTTTTTAAAAAAAAATAATTTTCTCTTCTGATTATAAAGGTAATAAAAAGCTCATTATAAAGAAACAGAAGAAAAAAATAAACCATTAAGCCTACCACCCAGAGATGGCCTTCTAGAGTTTTCTATAATAAAAAGTGTCAATCAGCACTTTCAATTCATTAATTTTTTCCTTTTTTAAAATCAATAGCAGTTTATGCTATCTATTCTGTGACCAGTTTATTATTTTAACAGCTGCAGAAAAACTAATTGATTTAACCAGAACTCTACTGAAATACAGATTGCTCCCAACTTTCTGCTATGAAAAATACAAATCTTCCTGTACTTCTCTAATTGTTTCACTAGAATAAATGCACAGAAGTAGAATTACTAGGTCAAAAAAAAGGCTTTGATACACTGCCAAACTGCCCCCAACACTGAAATTCATTTACACCCCCCAATAACCTGTATGAAAGAACTTGTGTACTTGCATTTCACTAACCCTAGGTGTGATTTTTCTTGTAGGTGTTTTTACCATTTGCCAGGTTAAAAAAAAAAAAAAAAAAAGGCATTCCTTTTTGAAGTCTCTGATTCTTTGGTTTATAGCAAGGATAAACATCATTTCACAAGTCTGTTTTGGCCATTTGAATTTCTTAATCTGTGAAATGCTATGGTGTTATTCTTCAATTCAACCCATATATATTTATTATAAGCCTAACTGTTGCCAGGTGCACTGTTAGGTACTGGGAATACAGAAATGAACAAAAATGGAGAAAAATCTTAGCTAACATCCCCGCAGATTGCAGGGGTCTCATGTATCAGCGCTCTGGACGCTGCAGAGCACTACCCAGAACGAAGCTCTGCCTAACAGCATCATTCCCGATGAGCTGTTCTGACGGCAATTCCCTTGCTGAACCCTCCAGTGAGACCACATCACTTCCTTCTTGAGCAACAGTGGAATGACATGTACCAAGTTTATCTGAACTATGTACCAAATTATTTAGGAATAAAAGTCCAAAGGGAAATAAAACAGAAAAATGGAAGGAGAGAACCCCAATCAAAAACGAACCCATGTAATAGGGACCCATGTAATAGGGCTCGGGTGGACTGAGCCTGCGGGGAAAGCTGTTGAGAACGCTGATAAAGGCTTTCAGGGGATGAAGCCCCGACAAAGATGGAAAGGAGAGGTCCTCTGTCTGAGAAACATGGTGCTCTTTGCTCTCTGCATTCTTGATTTGGGATAATTCTAAAATAGCAAAGTCTAAAGCACAGATGGTTCGTTAGCACAGCGTGGAATCAGTGTGCCTGAGCTTAGGGCATCTGTCTCAGACCCTATCAGGGTTCAACCTCTGCATCATGAACTCGAGGACACAGGCAGGATGCTGGCCAGATATTCTGAGGAAAAAGCTCTAGGAAATCTTTCATACCACAAAGAACAGAATCCAGATTCGAACCCAAAGGGTCAGGAGAGGCTGGATCCAGAAGCCAAAACCACTGAAAAGGAACTCAAGAACAAAGTGCAATGCCTGAGCGGTGTCAGAGAATTGTTACAGACCAACCACAGAAGCAGAGAATGAGAAAGACTCATTATGAGTCAGAATGAGAACAGACCGAACAGCAGTTATGGAGGAAAAAGTCCGAGGGGTGTTTAGCAGTTGGCAGAACATGAGCCGACAGGTGAGGAGGCTGCCAGAGGAGCCAGCTGTCAGGCTCCAGCCACACCTGGAGGGCCACCTGCTCCTTCTACTTCACAAGCTGCCCCCCGCCCCCACCAGGCTGACTGGGGCAGCCCCAGGAAGGAGACCTGGAGCCTGACAGGTCCAGAAGCCACCCCCAGGGCCGTGTGAAGGAAAGGAAGAATCTCCAAGGGGCTGAGGCAACATTTTTAAATATCTGGAGAGCTATCATATAGATAAAGAACAAAACTCATTTTGGGTAGTTTGGAGACAACATGAAAAAAAAAGCAATACGAATGTTAACAACAGGTGCCATTTGCTGAGTGCCTCCAATGAGCAGGCATCGTGCATGATTCCATGCCCAGCCGACCTCCAGGGGCCCCCCAGGAAAATGGGGACCACAGGCACCACCGCGGAGGTGGGCCGGGTGAGGCAGTGCATGTCCAGCACGCAGAAGAGGGCCTACACAATAAAACCTCTCAGTAGACAGCACCCATCAATCCAAGTAAGACCTGAACGTGAATGTTCACAGCACCAGTATTCATAAAAGCCCCAAATGGAAAGAGCCCAAACGCCCATCAACTGATGAGCAGATAGACAAAATGGAATCTACCCACACAGTGCAACATTCAGCAAAGCATGCGGTGCTGATACCCTCAAATACCACCTGTAAGGAAAGAAGTCCATCACAAAAGACCACATATGGGATGAATCCATTCACATGAAATGCCCAGAACAGGCAAATCCACAGAGACAGAAAGAAGGTGAGTGGCTTTTCAGCCCCTCGGGGGCCGGGGGAGGGAGGAATGGGGATCGACTGCTATCAGGCTTCCCCTAAAGGATAGGAGTTCTAGCTCAGTAAAGCGCCACCTTTCAAAAGGAACCCATTACCACCTTCACTCAATCGACAGGGCTTTATGAGGCAGCTAGTTTACAGATAGGGACACAGGCTCAACAATGTTCAACTGCAGATGATGGCGCCAGGATCTAAACCAGCTCAAACCCGTACTCCTGGTCACTCCGCTGGTTACACTGGTACACAAGCGAGTGGAAGGAACAAAGAGGCTGAGTTCAGTGGCACACAGGACAGTGAAGTCTCACAGTGTGAGCTGCACTGGGCAGGCCACAGGAGAGCAGAGCCCACGCCCCTCCAGAGGTGGGGCCCGAGGGCGGCTCACAGGCATGGCGAACGGGGTCCCTCCTTGTTCTTCTTCCACCAGGAGGGTTACCCGGTAACTCTTACCGACCTTCCCACAGGAAGGCTACTCTCTATTCTCTCTGTTCCAAATCTCAGAACACTACAAGGGGTTTCCAATTTCATGCTGTTTCATTTAGCTATACTTGGTTCCATATACTTGAGAAATGATGGTTGCCCTATGGTTTTTAGAAACTGTACATGTCTTCCACTGTCCAAAATAACAAGATTTCAATGCTGAGATTTATTTCAGTCATTTGACAGAAGAATGGGTGCTAAACAAACGAGCCACGGAGACACTGAGGTCTGCTGGCTTACTTACCGTGAAGTTCATTTCCTTGATGGGCAGCTTCAGGTGTTCAAATCCCACAATCACGGTATACTGCGTGTAGTTCAAGTAGCCCAGGTGGGCCACAATAATTTCTGCACACTTCTGCAAAGATGCAAGGGAGAGCTGTGTCTTTAAAGCAAGCAAGACTGGCTCCCCCACCAACTGACCCATGAAGTAATACATTCCAACAACAGATGAGCCAAATGAACCATCTCCAAGGAACTTGCCAGAGCCCAGAAAAATTCAGATGCCAGCCAAAAACAATTCTTAGAAAGAAAGAACCAAATGGATATTTTTGGAAGCAAATAATAGATGATTTGCAGTCATTAGAATCTTTCTACTTTGGATGATTCAAAATAATGTCACCTGCATAAAGAAGTTAACGCAACACAAACCTGACATTCACACGAATACAAAGGGGTAGGGGGAGCGTAGGCTAAGACGCAAATCAGACCCCCGAACCTCACTCTCCTCCCTGCTCACTTCCACAGCCACTGTGCGATATACAGAGTGCCTGCCCCCTCACCCCAACACCTGTCTTTCCCTACACAGAGCCCCTGTGCTCTCTGTGGGGAGGTCAGGCCCGCACCCAAGGCAAAGGCTACAGGAACAATGGCTAGTGTGATTACACGGGTGTGTGTGCTCACTGCCTGCCCAGAGCCCCCATCTCCTATACAGTTAGGAACCAGGTTCCCTCTACTTCAGCGTAGCTGGGGCAGTGGATGCGATGTGTCCTCAGTGGCCGGGCAGCCAGTGACCTGGGCGCAGCCTCACCGCCTAGTGCACCCCTCAGAAGTCCTCTCGCGGTCTGACAGTCTCTGGGTGGCGCCCGTGTGAGCCGTGGCTATGAACAGGGCGGTCACCCCTACTGTGGATCAAGGGCTCCCCAAGCTGTGAATGTCTGAGGTCATGTAGGAAAACAGATCTGGGTGTTCACAGGAAGCCTTAAAAAGATAAGAGGACAATCCGCAGGTAGGGGGTGCTGACCTAAGTAAGGGCCAGGGAAGAAGTCAGAAGGGATGAGGGTGCATGTCATCCCTGGTCTCCGCAAACCCAAATTCGTTTCCGACAGTCAGGTCACAGGAGGCACGTGGGGACAGGGGCAGCTAAGTACTGAGCAGTACTTAGTACTTGGCAACTGGATCTGTGCTGCACAGATGACCACTTGTTACGAGTCTCGACTTTCAGAGGATGTCTGAATTAACAAAACAGTTCTAACTCAGCCTGCAGGTATCTTCAAGTTTATAAAAACGACAGTGAGACCACCCGATGGTTTGGGGGTTCTCCGTTCAAGCTATGGTTTGCGCACCGATCACAATGTGCCTCTGCAAATCCTTGGGGAGAGCACAGCATTCTTACCCGCCCGGCGCGGACCACTTGCTACCTGAGGTGGACGGTGTTTTCTCTTTACGTCAAGACAAAGGTAGTATAAAGGGTGGTCAACAGCTCTAGAACACAAAAATCCCATCTATTTTTAAGTCAGGGCAGTGCTCCTGGGAGGGCTGGGGAGGGGTCTGCACAGAGAGACAACAGTAGAAACTGTGGGAGAGGGAAGACACCACAGTGAGGCACCAAGGGCCGCTCTCGAGGTGCACAGCGTGGGGGGGCACTGCCAGGAAGCAACAGTGCAGACAAGCAGCCTTGCGGGCAGCCTGGCGCTGTTCCAAGTACAGGCCTCAGACAAGGTGACAAAGTCGTCCTCGTTGGCCCGAGACTTACTCCATTTAAAACAGAAAGTCCCCCATCCTGGGAAACTCCTTGGTCCTCGCAAACCAGAAAGATCAGTCACATTAGCCATAAGATAAAGTCACCAACCGCCTGTTCATCATCACCCGCCCGGTGCGAGAAGGAGCAAAGCTAAAGCTGGAGCTGGAGCTGGAGCCGGACCCCAGGTGGCCTGGGGTTGGAGGCGAAGCCCCGCCTGCGCGCGGGCCTTCCGGACCCGGCATCCAGCCTCCCTGCCATTCGCACAGAACCAGCACAGCACCTATACTGCACACAGACGTGGTGGGTGCTCGGCCCCCCACTGGGCACTGCCCGCTCTCCCATCCGGTGTCCGACTTGATCCTCGCCACTCTACAAGGACGGTCAGGGAGGGCATTACTCCACTTTGAGGATGAGGACAACACATTTGAGAGGCTGGCCCAGCGCTCCTCCCACGGGTGACAATGGGGCAGAGTGAGGGTCTGGTCACTTGTGCAGCTTCCCGAGCAACACCTGCCCAGGCCCACGAGGTGGACCCCGTAGGCAGAGCCGCTGCTCGGGTCAGGGAGCAGCCGCCTTGGGATCTTCAGGCAGATGCCAGCAGGGAGGGACCACAGACGGGGGCCAGCATCCAACAGGAACCCTCCCCCACCTGAATCCTTTCCCGCCAGGACAAATAGCCCTGCTGCTTCCCTGTCCTGAACCAGGTGGTGCGTGGCTGCTAAGGGCACGAGCTCTAGAACACAAAAGCATGGGCTGAGATCCCAGCCCCTGCTCACTATGTGTGTCACCTCCGGCAAGTGCTCTTATCTCGCTGAGCCTCAGTTCCTTCTTGTGTGCAACGGGGCTCTGGTAACAGGGCTCCGTGGGCCTGTGCTGGGGACTGAGGGAGACTTGAATGTACGGGAAGCCTGGCGTGAGGCCTGCCAGGGAAACCACTTTCCTAACCCCCAATCCACGCATTCTCTTTTCTGATGTTCCCTGTGTTCTCCGTGCCCCCCACAACCTGCTTCATCCCAGGGGGCCTCCCCACTATATACCGAGCGATCCCAGTTCTGACTCCCGGGACTCTGACAGAATATGGCGCCAAAAAAACAAGAGTGAGGGTTCCTTTCTCACTTTGGATCACCAGGTTTCCCGTCGCATAACCACACACCGTACCCTGAAGCAGACGCTCCAACAAGTAGGCCGCTCTCCCTACGAGGCTGGGGCCTCAGGCCCGCAGGTGGAGCAGGGCTGGAAACCCGAAGCCTTGATAATTCGGAATGACCAGGGAGCAGCAGCAGACCTTCACAGGCGACAAGCAGCCCGTGAACAGCCATCTGTCGACACCCCAGGCAGTATACAAACAGTGAAAACAGGCATCCTGTGTGTGTATGTGTGTGTGTGAATGTGTGTATGTTTGTAAGAATTTGTAAGGTATCAGTGTAGAAAGTTAGGTGAGTGTTCTGCGCCATCACTGGTATGATTCAATTCTTTTACTTAGGAAAAGCAGGTATGTAACAGGGCAGCATGATGAATAATCGTTGACATTCAAACGCACTCACCCCCGCACAGGTGAGGGTCCTTGTCCGATTGTGAACTTTGTTATGAATGAACATGGTGGTTCCATCTTGAGCTACACCGTCAACTTTAACAGTCATGAGGAAGCTTGTCTGAATAGATGTTTCTACAAAAGAAAGAAATGCAGTGTCAGAGACCACCTCAGGCACATCACACTTGCCATGGTGAGTGCCCAGAAGGGTCCTGCAACCACCTCAGCCTCAGCACATGTGAAAAACCTCACACTTGCTTGCAAAGCCTTTCCATCAGGTTCTACGTCCGACCCGTTACCCAGGGGCCTATGTAAAAACCTACAAGTCCCCCAGTTTGGGTTCATAAAAGGGCAAGCATTTCATGCCTAATGAAATTTTGTTTTTTAAGTTCCCACATAAATTTCTAACTTAACTTCATACTAAAATAAAATTAGATTTCTTAATTTTCTGATTACATATTTTATTATTTTCTGTTTTTATGCCCACTGTTAAAATCAGAGAACAAAAAAATACAAAGATGTCATTAAACTCTTACAATCTCACCACCTAGAGATAACCATAATTAACATGTTATGTCCATCCTTCCAGACCATTTTCTAGGCATACAAATACACAGTGATACCAAATTTATTTATGTTTTTTTTTTAAATGTTACAAAAGGGGGTTAATTTTTTGGTCATATACTTTCTTTTCACTTAATTTACTGTGGTCATGGAGTTATCTTTTCAAATTCTTTCTCAGCCAAAGCGCCTCATCTGCATCACAGAACATGGAAAATAACGTGGGTGACCATTTTCTCAGTTCTCCCCAGACAACGCATAACTAGTGCCGCTCCAGACTAGCAGAGCTGAGGCGTTAGGGACAGGACACGCCGGGGCAGGGTTCTCAGCCTCAGCAGCACCGATATTTTGAGGCCAGATCACCCTCTGCTGTGGGACTGTCCCATGCACTGCAGGATGCTCGGCACCCTCCAGGTACTAGGAGCACTCCTCCGCCCCGGGGTGACAACTGCCAAGTGTCCCTGTGGGACAGAACCTTCACCTCAGGGCATCAGAACTGAAGCCTCTCCCAGAACCCCACGGAAAAAGGCGCCGCAGCAGTGGCTACCCTGTGGAGCCGCTGAGCTAAGCTGACCAGTGCTCACTGAGCACTGCATCATAACTTTCTCTGGAAGACACTGGCAGACATGGAAGGGGCTTCCAATTTGTTGCTATTATAAAGACTAACGAACATCCCTCTGATCCATCTTTGAGCACTTGTTCAAAGATTTTAAAGCTCTCTCGATCTCTAAAATATGGTGCTTTGTACAAAGAAACACTGTTCCGAAATGTCAGGCTTCATACCTTTTGATTGATCCAACTCCACAACACATGTCAGCCATAGTTGCTGATTATATGTAGACAATGGATTTGAAAGGATCTGAATTGGCTTCAGCTAAGGCAAAAAGAAAAAAGAGTTAAGTAATCCATGTGACCTTTTCATTAAGTCTACCAAATACCTCATCTTAACATACAAAATTTACATTTAGTAAAAAAAGGTTTGTGTAAGCTCGAAACAGAAACGTGTGGTTTTCCTTTAGACAATATAAGTAAAATTTTGCCTTCCAGAAAAAGAAAAGACTAACTTCCTATTGCAACCCCCTCTGTCTCATGAAAACCTCTAAGCAGGCAATGTCCAGCATCTGCAGCCTTGGGACCATCCTGGAGAAAAAAAAAATTAACAGTACATAGGATAAGATGTACCATAAGATCATAAAGGACACCAAGGATAGAGCTTGATATTCACAAGAATCATTACATCAGGGGCGCCTGGGTGGCTCAGTTGTTAAGCCTCTGCCTTCGGCTCAGGTCATGATCTCAGGGTCCTGAGATCAAGCCCCGCATCGGGCTCCCTGCTCCGCGGGGGGCCTGCTTCTCCCTCTCCCACTCCCCCTGCTGTGTTCCCTCTTTCACTGTGTCTCTCTCTGTCCAATAAATAAATAAAATCTTAAAAAAAAAAAATCATTTCATCAGTTCCAGTATGCCATACCAGTCACTGTTCGAGGTCTATTGTTTTCAGCTTTAGGAAAGTCTTACTGCCCCTGGAAAGAAAAATTAGAGGGGACCCCATCGCCAGTGATGCTTCTGCGGTGTGTGCTGAAAATCATAATACTGGCTCCTAGCAGCCGTGGGAGACAGAGAACATTACTTTAAGGAGCCCACCCATGGTGCCAAAGAAATGCATTATTTGAATGCAGTCTTTGAACATAAATATGTAGTATCTGTGTTTTAGAACTGACAGAAATGCTCTGTAACGAACCACGAGACACTATGGACTCTGAAAAAAAAACCTGAGGGTTCTAGAGGGGAGGGGGGTGGGAGGATGGGTTAGCCTGGTGATGGGTATTAAAGAGGGCACGTACTGCATGGAGCACTGGGTGTTATACGCAAACAATGAATCATGAACACTACATCAAAAATGAATGATGTAATGTATGGTGATTAACATAATAAAAAAAAAAAAGAAATGCTCTGTAACGAACCACGAGACACTATGGACTCTGAAAAAAAAACCTGAGGGTTCTAGAGGGGAGGGGGGTGGGAGGATGGGTTAGCCTGGTGATGGGTATTAAAGAGGGCACGTACTGCATGGAGCACTGGGTGTTATACGCAAACAATGAATCATGAACACTACATCAAAAATGAATGATGTAATGTATGGTGATTAACATAATAAAAAAAAAAAAGAAATGCTCTGTGACTGAAGGCTTGCCCAAAGCCACGAGGCATTGAAACCTACCAGAGGATCGTCTATCATCTTTAAGAAGTAGTCTGATATTTTGGGAGCAAGTCAATTTGGTGGGACGGCTGCTATTTTTAGTGTCAAAAAAAGGACTTACATCCTGAGAGAAATTTTATTTATTTATTTTTTTTAAGATTTTATTTATTTATTTGACACACAGAGAGATAGAGAACACAAGCAGAGGGGAGCGGCAGGCAGAGGGAGAGGGAGAAACAGGCTCCCCGCTGAGCAGGGAGCCCAATGTGGGACTCGATCCCAGGACCCTGGAATCACAACCTGAGCTGAAGGCAGACGCTTAACCAACTGAGCCTCACAGGCGCCCCTGAGAGAAATTTTAAAAGACCAAACTCCGTTCAGGAAACCCCGATGGTAGCACCTCTTTGAATCAGGTCCTCGGGGCAAGAGAGAAAGAAAATCAAGAAACTCAAATGTCAGTGGGCAACCAGAGGGCCCTTTCCAACTAGCAAGAGTAAGAGGAATTAAAAGGTAAGTTTTTGGACATTTTTCTCCTTTTGCTTTTTTGAAAACTGTAAGAGTGAAAACCTACCAGAGACCTAAGAGAAGGAAGGCAGGGAGGTGTTTGGGGTCAATCAGATTTAAACGTTATGGTGCCATGAGAACGTGGGGCAACTGCATTCAGTTTACAGGTAAAGATATGTCTGGTATGCAGAAAAAGAAAAGGGTTTAGTTGTTTGGGCTCTCACCATTAGCATTTATTAAAGATTACTTAAATTCTCTAATTGGAAAGACCTTTGTTTTTCTCTAAAGATGAAGAATCAACCACATTTAAAAAAGAAAAGAAAAAGGATTTTTTTTTTTTCATTTAAACTGAGTTCATGCAAGGAATACCAATCATTAGGAAGACCTACTCCTGTTAGAACGTGATGTAGAGACCCGCGTTAACTTGCGTAAATATAGTAAGAAATAGCCAGATGCCCACGGGAGCACTGTCAGAACTTAGAGTCTAGGAAAACCTGCAGGCGTGAGGGATCGGGGTGAGTCAGCCGGCATTTGGAAAGCAACTGCTGCTCCCCAGGCTGACAGCGCCGTCCTCTCCAGCACTGAGCTACTGCCGCAGCAAAGGGCCTTCTAGCAAACCAGAGCCCAGAGGCCAGCAGCTGACAGTGGTGTGAGACGTGCGTGCTTCCTAAGAAGCAAGCGGCACGGCAAGGGTGGTGCACCCCAGGGACCCTGTGAGTGACCCGACAGCCGCCCCTCCACCCAGTCTTACCTTTTTACTGTTATTTAGTGAAAAATTAGCTGCAGACGTCTGGATTACTTTGGGCCCTAAAAGTGTAACAGAGAATGAGAAAAGCAGGTTATATCTATATCGATAATTAATTTATTGTTTTTCAAATGCCAAGAAAGACACACATTATGCAGAGGTCATCTTATTGTCCCGGTCTGTTCTTAGGGGACATATAAACACACAGACACACAACATCCACTCTGCTGCACTGCATGACTTCCCAATGCAGAAGAACACGATATGACTACCACACACCACATATGATTCCCACAGGATCTATCTATGCCAAAACCTCTCCTTTGCTTTCAATGAGTGCTCGGATCCAGGAAACTATTAATGACACAGACATCGTCTATGTATCTGTGAAGTATAAAGATTTCTGCTAAAAAATTAAGACACATTTATTCGTTCATCCAATTAATCCAGTCTTCCAAAAATATTTATTAAGCTCAGGATATAAAAAAGCATAAAATATATGAATGTATACTCAATGTATATTCCTGAAATAGCAGATATATAAGCTTCACGGAATCTTACAATGTAATTTTTCAGAGCTTTGGCCTCAAAGGAAAGCAGCGTGAAGCAGATTTTAATTTAATTCATTCTAAAATCACTCTCAGCTGTGATGCTAGTTTTCTGGGCTGCCTCAGTAACCAAGTATCCTCCATTTAGAGGAGGAGATACACAAGTATGCACAGGAGTATGTAACAAGTTCATAACCAATGCAGTGACATGTGTCTGGAATGTGTTCATGAATGCTGAGGAGGCTGTCCCTGTGTGGGAAGGAGGCTCGCACCCACAGTGAGGCTTATTCTAAAAGATTCACAATCTGAGCAAACCCCTGTTCCAGGAAATAAGGCAGTCTGCTTTCTCAGAATTAAGAACTGGGAGTCAGAAAAGTCTAGACTCTAGTCTTAGCTAACTTGGCTTTCTGCGTCTGTTTTCATATTTGCAAAATGAGGGCAACTGAGTCAGTGGTCCCTAAGGCACCCCTAATTCTGAAATTCTAATAACATCATTACCAGAGGACTTAGGATGGTGATTTTTGTCAACTTGACTGGGCCGTGGGTGCCCAGATATCCAGCTAAAGGTGATTCTGATTGTGTCTGTGAGGGTGTTTCTGGATGAGATTCACATTTGAATCAGTGGATGGAGGAGAGCAGACTTCCCTGCCAATGTGTGGGGGTCTCATCCAAATGGTTGAAGGCCTGAATAGAGCAAAAGGCTGAGTAAGGGAGAATCTGCTCTCTGCCTGGGCTTGCTCTCGGTCTTCAAGCTGGCCCATCAATATTCAGCTATTTCCAGACACAGACTGGACCTTATCTGGCTCTCCTGTGCCTCTAGCTTGTTGATTACAGATCTTGGAGTTTCTCAGCCTCCATAATCATATGAGCCAGTTCCTTATAATAAATCTCTCTCTCCCCCTCCACCCCTGCCCCTCTCTCCCTTTCTCTGTCTCTCTCTCTCTCTATATATATATATATGTGCCTCCTATTGGTTCAGTTTCTTTGGAGAACCCTAATATAGAATTTGGTACTAAGAGTGGTTATAGAGGAAGTTGTTTTTTTTTTTTTTAAGATTTTATTTATTTGAGAGAGAGAGGGAGAGAGAATGAGCAATGGGGAGGGGCAGAAGGGGAAAGAGAAAGAGAGAGAGAGAGAAACAGGCTCCCCATTGAGCAAGGAGCCTGCTATGGGACTCGATCCCAAGACCCGGAGATCATGACCTGAGCCGAAGGCAGATGCTTCACCGATTGAGCCACACCCAGGTGCCTGGAGGAAGAGTTTTTTCATATTGGTTCTGGGGTTTCTGGAATTGGTTCCCTAATCTGATCAGCTGTAAAGATGGTAGTGACTCTATGTCCGGTAGTAAAGACAGCACTGGTATGGTTCATGAGAATATGCAAAATATCTCCACTGCATACTCCTAGATTCAACCACTTATAAGAAGGAGCTAAGTGACTCTATTTGTGATATTTTAGAATATTTTTGGAAAACAAATAGAATGAGGTTGACTGGTTGTTCCTAATGTCCCTGGACAAGGTGAGCTCCGGGGTTTGAATTCCCAGCTCCAGTGCCGCGTAAGTGATCTGACGGCTTGTGTGTGCCCTGACGGAGAGTCTGACCTCCTGTAGCCACAGGGCTGCGTGCTGCAAATCAAGCCCAGAATCTCATCCTGCAACTGGCTGAATTACAACCCAAGTTGAACACCAGCCTCACAGGCTGCCTCACTGCTCAAGCGATCCTGGCCTGGGGACGTGCAGGAAGATCCTGATGAAGGTGGGGGCACGGAGCTGTTAAATTTCTATGCATCTTCTTTGCCACTGGAAGAGTTCTCCCCATTCCCAGTAGAAGGAGACAGACTCCCCTGACGGCCATGCAAGACAATGCTGATTCTGCTCAGCAACCTCCCCTCTCTGATTCTATAACGATAACTAGACTCAAGTTCCAGCAGGCTCCTAAAGGTGAGATACAAAGTATGACCCACTACACTCCAAAAGAACTACGTGAGTTTTCTGGTTTATATAGAGAGAAATTGGGTAACATATGTGGGAATGAATACGAAGGGTGTGGGAAAATGGTGGAAGGAACATAAAGTTGGATCAGTCTGAATTTATGGATGCAGGCCCACTAAGGAGAGATTCTGCATTGCATGTTGGAGCTCAGGGAGTTAGGAAGGGCTCTAACAGTTTGGATGGTTGGTTAAAATGTGGACTGAAAGGTGGTCCCCAGTGAGCAAATCAGAAATGCCACACCTGCCTTGGTTTAATGGAAAGGAAGGGATTCGGAGGCTTAGGGAGGTTGGAACGTTGGGGTAGTTTGTCATTGAAGACCTGCTGGGAGATTCCAGGACACAGAGCTTTCACCACTGCTACGAGGAATAAATCTGTGAGGGAGGTCCCAGCATCCTTAATGAGCTCTATGACTGCCCTGCTCTGTGGACCAGATCTTACAGTAGGAACCACGGTCACTGAACTGGGGAAACCCAACTCAATGGGAGTAACTGGACCCCAGGAGCGGTGGGGCCAAGCAGCGGTGCTCACCTACCCAAAGAAGGTGGGTATGACTCCTGTAATGGGACAGGACAGTCAAAGCAGCAATCAGAAGAGTCTGATTCACACAGACCTATGGGGCTGGCTAGTTGATTATGGCGTTCCTAGAAGTGAAATCCACAGGAAGCCTGCTAAAGTCTGACTTGATCTGTGTGAGCAGAAAAGTCTAAGTCAAGTGACCAAGAGTCTAACCTGAATCATAAAAACAGAGAGTCACAGTCCATCCATAGTTTCCAGATTTGAGCCACTTTACAGACCCAAACCCCTTGAATGAAGGAAAGAAGACGGGGTTCCCTTAAGAAAGCACCCCAGTACACCACCAAAAATGTGGACTGCTAACCATTCTCCCAAAGGAACGTACAGCCTTTTTACCAAGATAACTGCACATTGGGGAAAAGGAAATACATGTTGGGGTCCCCTGGACACTGGTTCTGAACTGAGCCCAATTTCATGAAACCCCAAACACCAGTCAGAGCAGGTACTTATGGGGGTCAGGTAATCAATGGGGTTTTAGCTCAGGCACATGTCACAATGGGCCCAGTCGGTCCTGAACCCATCCCTATGGCTAAGTCCCCAGTTCCAGAACGCATAATTGCAACAGAGATACTCAGCAACTGGCAGAATCCCCAGACTGGTTCCCTGACTTGTGGAGTGAGGGCTATTAAGGTGGGAAAGGCCAAATGGAAGTAACCAGAACAGCCTCTACCTACAAAAATACAATCAAAACCAGTGTCACATTCCTAGACTGCAGACATTAGTGTTCCCATCGAGGACATGAAAGATTCCCACCACACCCCCATTCAACTCACCTATCTGGCCTGGGCAGAGGGTAGGTGGCTCTTGGAGAGGACAGTGGACCACCATCAGCTTAACCAGGGGGTGATTACCTGAGATGCAGCTGCTGTACCAGCAAATACAGGATGAAGCAGTCTTCTTCATCCCTGAGAAAAAGGCCCACCAGAAGCCAGGCCAGCAATACACCTTCACTTCACCATCCTACCCCAAAGGTATGACACCTCCCAGCCACACACCAGAGTTTGCACAGATCTTGGTCACCTTTCCCTTCCATAAGCTATCGTGCTGGTCCATCGCACTGATGACATTTTGCTGACTAGACCTAGTAAGAAGCAACTACCCTAAACTCATTGGTAAGACACTTGCATGTCAGAGGACGGGAAATAAATCTGGTTAAAATTCAGGGGCCTTCTACCTCAGTGAAATTTCCAGGGGTCCCGTGGTGTGCGCCATGGAGAGCTATCCCTTCTAAGGCAAAAGATAAACTGTTGTATTTGGCTCCCCCTACAACCAAAACAGAGGCACAATGCCTAGCGGGCCTTGCCTCTTCACATTTAGAAGCAACATGTTCTTGTTTGGGTGTGATACTTTGGCCTATTTACCTAGTGACCCAAAAAGGTGCAAGTTTTGAGTGGGGCCCGGAACAAGAGAAGGCTTCCCCGCAGGCCCAGGCTGCCGTGCAAGCTGCCTACTGCTGGGGCCGTGTGAGCCGGCAGATATAACGGTGTCTGAAATGTCAGGAGAAGATAGGGAGGCCATTTGGAGCTTGTGGCAGGGCCCTATGGATGAATCTTAGTGCACGCCCTTGGGACTCTGGAGCAAAGCCTTGCCCTCCTCCACATATACTCTCCTTGCAAGACACAGCTCTTGGCTTGCTATTGGGCCTGAGTAGAGACTAAACACTTACCAATGGGCCCCCAGGTTACCATGAGACCTGAGCTGCCCATCGTGAGTTGGGTACACACGGCAGCACTCTATCATCAAAGGGAAGTGGTACCTGTCTGATCAGGCCCGAGCAGGCCCAGAAGGCACAAAAAAATCTCTCTTTTGGTATCTACATATATCCTATTGGTCTGTTTCTCTGGAGAACCCTAATACCAGTACCCATTGGGAAGAAGGAAAGGGATGGGGGAATCCTGACATGGTTTTTCTGATCTCAGCCTGGGTGCATCACTTCATTTTTGCAAGAGTGGAAAAGGCTGAATATAATCATGGACATTGCAACAGACAGTAGCTTAGGGAAACAAGAATTGGCTGAGGTCCCGTGAGACTCCAGTCATAAGCCTATCAATGCCTCTCCTACCAATCTTCAAAGGATAGCTATGAAAATTGAGTAAGATGACTGATATGTACTATGCCGGGATTAATGTGACTTATTCCTTGGTGACCTCACGGGAAGGAAAAGAGGGGACTGGCCACAGGTGCTATTGTCACCATGATGTTCATCATCAGTGGGCAAACAGCCACCTAAGCAACCACCCTCACCCCCAGCTTCCTTGGGCCAGTCACCAGCCCAAGTCAAATTGAGGTTAAGAAACTAGCTTTTGGAGGCACAACCGCCTCTGGGACAGGCTAAGCCTAAAGTCGTTCACACTTTAATATGAAATGTAATTAAATAAACACCTACCAGAAATCATGCTCACCAAACATGATATTCAAGAGGGAAAGGAGAAACAACCTAGGCAGGTCCCGGTCTCCTATCCCCTGGACAGGGCTGAAGAGACCGGGTTGCTGGGAACCTTATGAAAACGGGCCAACTTCTCTCATTCTGTTTTCCATCTGTGCGAAATGGGGTTGGACTGGACGATTTCAAAGGCATTTTTGAAGCTAAGATCATTATGGTGTGGCTCTTGCCTCACACTGCATGCTATGGAACCCGAGGCACTGGGGCTCTGAACACAAGGCCAAAGCCAGTCTGCAGGCTCCCTCCTGCCAAGAGTTCAGGGCGTCACTACAGTCGCGCTCCCGGCTCCCTTTGGTCACCCCAGTCCTGTGCTCCTTGCTGTCTCATGCCCCGCCCCAGAATGTGCACACCTGGCCTGTGGCCCCCATCCATCGGCATGTTCTGAACTCCCCAGCGCCCAGGCGGGGTCCTGAGCACAGGAGCCTTGACAGAAATGTCTGGCGGTCCAATAAAAGGTACGCACTCAAGGCCACCAGGTGCTGCCAAGCTGAACTCAAGCCCTGGCTGCTACGAGGGGAGAGACCCGGGTCACCCCTTGCCCAGTGGGTTCAGAAAGAAGTGGCACTTCACCCTCTGCCAAGGGGCCCTTAGCAGGTGACAGAAAGTGGGTATAGCTTGGCCGGGCTGAAAAGCACACACCAGGGTGACTGTAAATGATAAAATGACCAAGAACTGCACCTTACCTCTGATCCCAATGAAGACAGTCAGGCCAAAACAGACGAAGACGACGACAAACACGAGGACAAAGTGGCGCTTGGAGAGCGTGTAGAGCCGCATGGGCGCCAGCCTGCAGAGAAGCGGGGGGGGAGGGTCAGGTGGGGGGCGCGGAGTCGACAGGAGGCCCCTCTCCGAACCAGCAACACCCCCAGGCTGCAACAGGCCAGCCCCTCCCCACCTCAGAAGCGGACCTACTCTAAACCCAGGTGACCCGCCTGACAAAAGTGCCTAAGTCACCTCAGGGACCACTGCAGGGTGGGCGACTGGCCGGCACGTCAGCAGGGGCCAGCCAGACCCCACTCCTCATGGCACAGGGGTGCGCTGCGGCTTCAGTGACCAGGAGAACATGTTTCACACCACACACGCCCACCTTCAGCAGCCACAGCAGAGCCCGAGGGCACAGCGGACCCCAACCCACTCATGCCAACACGCAGCCTGAGCTGTGAGCTGGCACAATCAAGCCCAGACGGGGAAGTGCGGGTGCCACCAGCTGGTCCTCCAGGTGGCCCACAACTTGGTTTTTCCCCCGCCCCGGGCTCTCGCCTGCATCAGCCCTCCTGGTGAAGCTCAGCCTGACTTTCGCTGTGGGGTCTGGTTCTGATGCAACTGAGCAAGCTGCCCGCACTCGCCTGTGACTTACACCAGTGTGGACAGCAACTGTGCGGATCCATCCCAACACCCCCCCACCCCCATCAGGAGGGGCCCTGCCTATCACCCCTACTTTCTCCTCTGCTCAGAAGAAAATGGCAGTGGGGGAGGGGTCAGTTCTCTTCCAGAACTCCCTACCCCAGGTGTCAGTAAACAAAAGAAAAATCCATGCAGGCCCAGACGATGAGTGTCAGAGGCCTGGCCAGCCACACAGTCTCTGTCTCCAGTCCACACGGCCGCCTCTACACGCGGCCCAGACGTCATGTGCTCGCGTGTGCGTGGCTGGGTTCTGACTCAACTCTACCACAAAGAGGTGGCGGGCCAGGTTTGGCCCCCAAGTGGTTGACCCCTGCCCTATAACCTAAAGCGGAGACCCATAAATCCAGAAAGACAAGAGTGGGAGGGGGGAGACTGTTTTGCTTTGCTTTTTACAATATTTTTATTCCCCTAGCATTTCCTGGTCTTGGGAGCTGAGACAGAAGGAGGCACTTCTTATGCCTCAGGAATAGGACACACACCCCAGGCCAGGGAAAAGCAGGCTTAGAACTGAAACGGAGGGAAAGGTTATTTGCTTTTATGGTGCTGAGTGCACACACGCAACCTCTCCTCTACATCGCTCAAGATTCCAGTTCCTGAGCAGGAAATCAGCTGTGGTATCTTGGGGCAAAGGTTGGGGCCCATAAGCCACCTTCGCTGAGACGTGGCTTTGCCGATTACCAAGCCAGCTCTCTCCAAAAGGACCCGCCAGGCCTTTGGGCGAGTGAACTCGGAGGTCAGTGTCACCATGTTTCACAGAATGACGACACCAGTGAAGAAATAAAGGAATGAGTGCCTCTGTCTTTTTCTTGGGGACGCAGGTCCAAAGGCCAACCCACAAATGACCCTACTATGCATGAGAAATGAGAGCCAGTGAATTAAGTAGGCTGACCCCAACTCCAATTTGGGACCCTAAAGGGTTTTGTTTTGTTTTTTTTTAAAGTCTTCCTCATTTTTTTTTTTAAGATTTTTAAAATTTATCCATTCATGAGAGACAGAGAGAGGGATGCAGAGGCAGAGGGAGAAGCAGGCTCCCCGCTGAGCAGGGAGCCCGATGTGGGACTCGATCCCAGGATCGAGTGACCTGAGCCAAAGGCAGACGCTCAACCGACTGAGCCACCCAGGCGTCCCCCCTAAAGGGTTTTTCTTAAGATTTATTTATTTGTGAGAGAGAGAGAAAGTGCGGGGTGGGGGGACAGTGGGGAGACGGGGTGGAGGGAGAGAATCTCAAGCAGACTCCTGACTGAGCGTGGAGCCGGACACGGGGCTCGATCTCACAAACCCTGAGATCATGACCTGAGCCAAAGTCAAGAGTCAGACGCTTAACTGACTGAGCCACCCAGGCACCCCTGGACCCTAAAGATTTTAAGAGGCCTGAAAACCTTAAAATAGTAGAGCCAGAAAGGGCCTCAGGGAGGAAGTCCAACCCCTTCGACTTACACACAGGGACACTGAGGTCCAAAACTGCGGAACACTTGCCCAAGGTGTCACAGCTCTGCCCCTTGGCGGTAACTGCTGGTCCCCAGGAAGGAGGCTGGGGGAGCAGGAAGAGCTGAGGGGACCCACTTCCACAACTGCATTTCTGGGGAAAGCCCTGGGGAGGCGGGGCCGACATCAGAACAAGGTCTTCTTTGTCACCACTCTGCTGCCCACAGGTGTTGAGGCTAAGAATGCAGTTCCTCTGCACAGTCTGCAGAAGGGACCGCACGGGGCATTTTCACTTTGAAAAACCCCTACGAAACGCTAAATGGATTAGATGTTGGGAAAGACAACTAAAGTCTGTAGTTCACAGGACTGCACCAATGCTGCTCTCTTAGTTTTGATAAACGTGCCACGGTGCTGAGATGCCAACATGAGGGGAAGCTGGGTGAGGGGTGTGCAGACACTCTGTACTACCTCTGCCACTCTCCTTGTAAATGTAAAGTTATTTAAAAAATTATCCGGAGTCATTTACGGCACCCGAGTCTGCTGCTCTCAGGGCAACCTACCCACCCCACCCCATGCGGGGGCTCTGAGGGGCACGGAGGGCTCCCAGCGCAGGCAAGAGCCCAGAAGAGGTTACTTGGAAGCAGAGAAAAACAGAGTAAGAATAATTATATTTAAATTCTGATTTTTAAAACACTCTATCATTAAAACACATTATCAGTAACTTGTTAGGAAAGCAGTTACTTAGCAGAAGAGAGGGAACGGGAGGAAAGAGACCAGCCAGGCCCCGAGAGCACAAGGTCGAGTTCCTGCAGCACCCGCCCACCCGGGGGCCCTCTGCCCATTCCCCACTCTGGGGCTCAGTACAGATCTAGCACTTCCCTTCCTTAAAACTGCCACTTAAATCCAATTTATTACAGATTCCCCTGGTTCAGAAATCAGGCCTCACCCAATTCAATGGAAAAAAGACACAGAGAAAGCAAAAGCAGCCCCCCTGCCCGAGAAAATGCCACTGGGCACAACCACGTCCATGATCTCAGCTTGCTGGGGACCGGCTGGGGAGGGAGCCACACTTCTGTCTTCAGCTTCCTGACCAGCAGTAAACCTTTCCAGGCATCCTCAGCTGTGGGATCTGGGGTCCAGAGACCCTCTCCAGCCACAGGGTGTTGTGGGCCAGGGCCAGCACCAAGACAGCTCAGTTCCGCACGACAGTGCCTCCTCCCCAGGGCTCCTTCCACTCTCAACTTCATGTCTAAAAACTTTGAAGCAGTTCGCCAAAACTCTAGAGACTTCCAAAACCTCAGGAACATCTTCCTATTTGAGACAAATCACAGCTCTGCACTGCTGTTCCGTCAAAGTAGCAACCGTGAGATGCCAACATGAAGACAGCAGCAGCGGAGCGTCGAGGCACCCCCAGCCGGTCTCGCTTCACATCTCCTGGTCCCAGCTGCCCCACAGCCGCTTCCAGCCCAAACCAGGCACCCAGTCATTTCTCTGCCTACCTCCCACCTCCCCTCCCACCAGAAACACCAATGTGTTTCTAACAATCAAGCTAAACTAACCGGCGGCCCAGCCAAGTCTCTGTGAGGAGACAGCCTTTTCGCCCTGTGATCAGGCCACCAACAGAAGGAATGCTCTGTAAACGCTCAGAGGCAAGACTGTGATGCAGAAAAGGCACGGGGCCCATGACCAAGAGGCTTCTGATCGAGCAGCCTTAACCCATCCTGCATGTCAACCTCTACTGTCTCCCATCCCCTTCTGGGACCCACACTGTGTACTCTCCGACCCCGGGTGACCCCTGCTTCCTCCTTCATACCCCTTCCCGCCTCCAGGAACCGTCCCCAAGCCCCTGCCTGCCCCTGATCCTGTTCTGAGATAGTGTCTCCCAGGACATTTTCACTTAGGACTCCACAGCACTTTACGGTCAGTAAGTTTAAAACTGAACCCATTAAAGCACAAAATAACAAATGAAAAAGCTGCTTCCACTGCCCATTTCCTGCCTCTGCCCTTTCTCCAGCCCCACATCCTGAAGCCTCGGGAGTCCCCCCTGAGGATGCTCGCCTCTCATTCGTCCTGCACCTGCAGCCGGCCAGGAGGATGCATGTCCTGCTTCCTAACTTTTCCTTCCCAGTGCGGGTCTTGAGACACACCCCGGGCCCAGCCACCGCCAGCACGGAGCCAGCCTCCCAGACGCTGTCTCGGTGGTGCGGTGACGCCGCTGACACACTACCCTGCACAGGAAGCCTCTGGCTTCCCCCGGCCACTCCGTCAAGGTTCCACTTCTCCTTACGGCTCCCAAGGTCCCCCCAAATCCCTGCCTGGGATTCCTACTGTGCTGCATGTACCCCACATGAATTACCACCTCCCCTGATCATCACGGCTGCCTTCCAAGGTAGGTACCACCACCATCCACATTTCCCAGATGAGCGAGCTCAGGCTGAGGCAGCGTTCAAACCCCAAGCATCAGCGTCCGGGGCTTAAATTCTGTTTCCCAACATGGTCAAGCCAGAGACTCTAGACCAGCCCTTGCATACACTGCTCTCCTGATGGGAAATGCTCTCTCTTCTCACCACCAAATCATCGAAATCGGGCTCAGCAGGGCTCACCTGCAGGCCCCACCTCCTCCAGGAAGCTTTCCCTCCCTTCTCTGTCTCTCCCGTCTTTTAACCTATTACAGCCATATGGCTGAGCGCCTGAAGACAAAGTACACACCTACCTGTGTGGATGCCAGACACATGAAAACACCTACTCAACTTTCCTTTGTTATCTCAAAAGTGTTTATGTACTTCCCTCAAATTGGCAACAAGCTACTACGGAGCATTTCCCCAAACACCGTGGCCAAGTCAAACACAGCAGCTGGTGGGATCTCCTCCCTGGAAAATGAGAGCAGGAACGCCTGGAGCAAAACCCTGCCAGCTCAGGACGGCTGTCCCTCCTTTCTCTCTTCTTGAGGGGACCCAT